AGCCTGTCCTGGAACTAGCTCTTGTAGACCAGGCTGGTCTCGAACTCACAGGGATCCGCCTGCCTCTGCCTCCCAAGTGCTGGGATTAAAGGCATGCACCACCACCGCCTGGCTTGGTTGATTTTTAAACTTTTAAGTATTATTAGATAAATCTTGAAGGACAATGAAAAACAGAAATGGTAGCGTAACGACCCAGCATATCCTTTCAAAACAGTTTTGGATACTAGGAAAATACATTTCTTCTATTTATCACTTGCCTAACAACATTATCTGAAGACTCACACACACCATCATTTAACTTCTGCTAGGAATCATGCTCAGGCTTCATGAATAGAGGCTATGGATTCTATGGACTGTCATAAATCCCTAGAACCATAATTTTTTTTTAAGGGCTGGAGAGATGGCCTCAGCAGTTAGGAGCACTGGCTGCTCTTCCAGAGGTCCTAAGTTCAATTCCTGGCAACCACTTGGTAGCTCACAACCATATACAATACGTCCTGGTGCCCTCTTCTGACCTGCTTTATACAGGCAGAACACTGTATATACAATAAATAAATCTTAAAAACTTTTAAAAAATGGCATAATCACTGTACAAGTTGACATGTCAAAATAACAGTAATTTCCAATAGCATTAATGTTGGGAGCATGAAGAGCTTTGCATGCACAGATCACTAGGGAAACCAGGAATGTTAATCACACAAGGGTGTCTCCTCAAAGGAGGAAATACCTGTTCTTCCATCCAGCAGGCTGGGAACTGAGGTGATTAACAGCCCGGCAATCTCTGTCATCTGATGGGCCAGGCCATATCAAGCTTCCACAACCATGACTGGAGGTGGCTAGTCTTCTAAGTGACCCTTACTTCGTCTGTATAACTAGGGATTCCTCTAAGCTCTCACAGCCAGGATGGAAGGTGGCTAATAGACTGAATTCCCTCTGTACTATCTCTACAACCAAGACCAGGGCAGATCGTTCCTTAGGCCCTTAAGCTAGTACAGGCAGCCTATCTCCAGAACCCATCTTCTTGGAAGTAATGACATGTACCCTGAGTTGAGTTTCTATATAATTATGCTTCCTTATGTACCTGTGATTGTACTACACAAGGAAACTTTTTTCCAAATTATACTGTGTTTAAATGTGATGGCAATAAATTGCCTGGCAATAAACAGACTCCCAAAGTTTGATCCAGCCTGGAGACTTAGTTGGGCTGAACCAAGTTTGCATTCTCACCTCATCAAGGTTTATGTCCCTGCCTTCTGCAACATCTGCAGGGACCCCCTCACATTAATATTCAGACATTACTTATTCAACTTTGTTGTACGAGTGTCTTATTGTCTTATTGCTATGTTTTCTAATTCTGAGACGACAAAGCAAAAACAGCATCTACCTATTAGTTTATTTGATACATTTTAAAGTCTTTTAGAGGAAAGTTAATTTTATCTAATATGCTTTCTGTTCACTAGTCCAAGGGATCAAACCAACAGCTTTGCACATGATAGAAAGGTTTTGAGGGCTGGAGAGATGGCTCAGAGATTAAGTGCACTGGCTGCTCTTCCAGAGGTCCTGAGTTCAATTCCCAGCAACCACATGGTGGCTCACAACCATCTGTAATGAGGTCTGGTGCCCTCTTCTGGCCTACAGAGATACACACAGACAGAATATTGTATACATAATAAATAAATATTTTTTAAAGTATTTAAACCAAAGTATAATCAACAGAAGAACACACAGCAAGTATAGTGAAAAGTGTTGAAGATCCATAACATGGGACTGGAGATAAGACATAGCAGCTAAGGGTGTTTGATGATCTTGTAGAGCACCAGATTTCAATTCCCAGCAACCATGTCCAGTGACTCACAACTGCCTGTAACTACAGCTTCAGGAGAATTAAAGACCTCTGGTTTGTATGGGTACATGCACTCATGTGTCCATACCCACATGT